GGCAATTCTAGCTGCGACGTCCCACCAAAATCGGCGCGAACGGGCTCGTGAGATCAGCCAGGGTGGCTCCCCCTTGGGGCTCCCAATTGATGCCCCTGGCTGCGTTTTGTGACCATGAGGCTCTCAAGAGAGACATGTTGGGGAGGCCAAACGGCAATTTTAGCTGAGACGTCCCACCAAAATCGGCGCGAACGGGCTCGTGAGATCAGCCAGGGTGGCTCCCCCTTGGGGCTCCCAAATGATGCCCCTGGCAGCGTTTTGCGACCATGAGGCCCTCAAGAGATACATGTTCGGGGCGCCAAACGGCAATTCTAGCTGAGACGCCCCACCAAAATCGGCGCGAACGGGCTCGTGAGATCAGCCAGGGTGGCTCCCCCTTGGGGCTCCCAAATGATGCCCCTGGTAGCGTTTTGCGACCATGAGGCTCTCAAGAGATACATGTTGGGGGCGCCAAACGGCAATTCTAGCTGAGACGTCCCACCAAAATCGGCGCGAACGGGCTCGTGAGATCAGCCAGGGTGTCTCCCCCTTGGGGCTCCCAAATGATGCCCCTGGCAGCGTTTTGTGATCATGAGAGAGTGTGAGTGTGAGCTTAACTTATCTTATCTTATCTTGAAATCTCTTCTTATCATATCTTGTGCTATCTTATCTTATCTTGTAGTATCTTATATTGTCTTGTCTTATCTGGTGATTAGCATTGGGAGGAGGGAGGCGCGAGCGGGAGGAAGAAGGAGGAGGAGGAGTGGGAGGCGTCAGAGTAATAACAAGAACCCCAATCCTTAGGATATGGGGAAGAAGCCAAACCATCGTCGTAAGCAGATGGTGGTATCATTTACGTTCAAGCAATTAGGACCGTCAGCGATCTACCACGAAGCGTGCTGGACGACGTTCGCGACGCTGAGATCGCACATCATTCAAAAGGTTCCAGGCGGCTGGTCTTCACTTTTAAAGATGTTGCTTCGTGATATCGTATTGGGTACACTTTCGTTCTGCACTGCGGGAGTTCCTCTGCAAATCCATGGGAACACGGTTCATGTTGTACGCTGACATTTGAGTCGTTCCCACAGACTTGGATGGGCATCGTGTGTGTTGGGACTGGACGGGGGCCAACTCCCACAAACCGTGCCTCGTGTGTTCCAACTGCTGGAAAAAAGACGTGCCGCTCATCGATGGGAACTTCGACATTTCGCGTTCAGAGTTCGGGGGGTTCCGCCAGCTGGATAACAACACGATGCAAGAGGCTATGGGCTTGATTCTCGCAGGAAAGGCCGATCGTGATCGCGGTCTTATGGGGGCGGGTGCGTTCGCTGAGCTGATGCAAAGTATGGGTTTCAAGCCAAATCCTGATGGCGTCCTTGCAGGCCCTGTGCTCTTGCGAGCTCATTAATGAACCATAAGTTCATCGTAGCGACTGGGTTCACGACTTCCTACAACGCGGTGTCTTTGCAAGAGAAGTAACTGCATTTGTGCGGATGTGTGAGGATAAGGCAGGCTTGGCATTCACTTCTTGGGCTGGCCTGATGCAAGCTCAATGGCGGTTCCCTCATTGCTTCGGAGTAAAAGCTTCGCAGTTGCGCGATGCATTTTTGAATTTCAATAGCGAGGAAAAAACCGTCAAATACAAAGCGTCGGATTACATTTCTCTCTATACGATGATGCGACACTACGTGGAATGTTCTTTGATGGGCGACCCGCGACTCACCAAAGAATTCGATTCGTTTGCTGCAGGGTGTTTGGTGTTAGATCTGCTGGTGGAGGCAAAGCGCTCTCCACAGTCAGACCTTGCAGGCATCACATCTGACCTGCGGCATGCTATAAAAACGCATTATGCCAAACATAAGGCAGCGTACGGAACAACGCAGCTGCTGCCAAAACATCACCAGATGCTTCACATACCCAACCAAATAGACAAATATGAGAGCGTGATTGATATGTTCGTCGTAGAGAGATTAAATTTGAGGATCAAAGGAATCGCGGAGCCAATTAAAAACACCAGACGGTTCGAGTATTCCGTGATGTGTTCTTTGCTCACGATGCATCACAACCAAGTGTCTGGCGGAATTTCGGGCCTCTGCGATGGTTTGGTTGGGGGGACGAACCCCCTGCCTGGCTTCCCTGATGTTTCGTTGACTCGCCAGGCTTGTTTCGAAGGGAAACACGTTCATCTTGATGACGTTGTCATTTTCGGTGATTCGGCAGGTATGGTCATCGCATGTGTCCAAGATCGAGCCAACGTGTTCCTCATTGTTCGGGAAATGAATCCGACTGGCAGGAGAACGCAGTCATGTGTGTGGTACACGTTGCTTGACAGCCTTTTCTGCTGTAGGTTTGCGTCACGCGTTCACGACCAGCGCGTGGTACGAATCAGATGGCGTGTACGCCGTGCCCAAGTGAAACAGAACACGTGCTCAAGTGAAACAGAACACACCCCAAGCATCCATCAATCCAGCCATCCATCCTCGTCCTCCCCCTCCTCCGCCTCCTCCTCCTCCTCCTCCTCCCCCTCCTCCCTCCTCCTCCTCCTCTCCACCACCTCCTCCTTCTCATCATCATCAATCCTTCTTACCCCCCCCCTCCTCCATCCCCTTCCTCCTCCTCCTCCTCCACCTCCTCCTCCTCCCCCTCCTCCTCCTCCTCCTCCTCCTTATTACCCTCCCCCTCCTCCATCTGTCACAAGCGGATCGTCCGCCACGCCATCCATCACCAGCGGGTCGTCCGCTACGTCATCCATCACCAGCGGGTCGTCCACTACATCATCCATGAGCAACGCGCTATGTCCCCACGACGCCCCCCAAACAGTGATCTACAAGCTACCTGCAAGTAACATAAGTAATGTATAAGTACAAGAAGTATCTGGATGCACGCGCGCTGCATGTGCACCAAATCAAAATGTGTTCCCACTTTCTGCCAAAGTTACATCCACGCACACACACACATAACTTGCAACACATATCACACAACAACATCAGATGTGGCACCTACACTGCACTTCGCACAGAACAACTCAACATGAAGGCTGCTAAAGTTAACTTGTTCCACGCCTACTTACTCATCTATGGCCAACTGTATCAGGCGCCGGAGGGTCGACTTTACGAGGATGCCTCGAGCGAGAGCCCTGGACTGTGACATGCCTGGCGCGTCTGGTGCGCTTGGTGCGCTCCCCGGAAATGGTCCCTGGGGGCGCAGCGGAGCCAGACTCTCACTCGCCGACGGGTCGGTTTCGCGAGGATGTCTCAAGCGAGGGCCCCAGAACGGAACGCCCGGCGCGCCCAGTGCGCCCGGTGCGCGCCCAGTGCGCCCGGTGCGCTCCCCGGAAATGGTCCCTGGGGGCGCGGCGGGGCCAGATTTTCTCACGCGCGGGAGGTGTCGAATGTGCGACGGTGTCTCGACGCTCCCCCGCAATGGTGCCTTGGGGCGCGGTGGGGCCTGATTTTCTCACGCGCTGGGGGTTACAGAAACTCCCTCGAATGACCTGGGTCGATCTACCTCGGGTCGGCGAGCTTGGAGAGCCCCAGGTGTCCTCATGGAAGGGGGGAGAGATTGGAATGGAAAAGCGTTTCATCGAACCGCCCCGGGACGACCACCCCAGGATTCCGTTTCACACATGCCGACAGCGTCGGCAGATATTACATCATCTGGGACGCCAGAGGGTCAAAGTTACATCAAAAATGGTGGACATGCACCTTCGAGGTCGGCGCGCCCTTCAATGTCGCTACGACGCCCCTCCAATGTTGGGGGCAGGGCAAAGGTGGTCTATCTGGGAGCGAGTCAGAAGTCCGATTGATGACCGACATTGGAGGTGCGGCGCATACAAGTACCTCGCACTCATCGCTACTCAAGCGAATATCTTCCCGTACACAAATCAGCTACGTACATAAGACATGTTTGAGGTTAATTTTGACGAGGGTTGCAGGCTCGTGGTGGCAAAGCCGCCCTCTTTCACTTCAAAAAGGCGATGTAATATTCGATCAGATCGCGGCGTGGAGATGACTCAAGCCCACCAGGGTACTCTGCTCTACGCACTGTCCACCTTTTCTTCGTCGTCCTCCTCCTTCTCCTACTCCTTCCCCCACTCCTAGGTTTCATCCTCGTCTTTCTCCTCACCTTCCCTGCCTTCTTCGTGGATGGGGAATGAGAGGAGGGGACGCGATAGGTAATTACGCTCGAGCCATCTTTGACACACACACACACACACACACGCACACACACTCACACGCCCCCCAACCTATCCGCTCCGATTGTTTTGAAGTATCTTGCATCCGCTTGGTTTCTTAGGGGGCGAATTCCCCAAACGACTCCATCGCGTGATGTGCAATCAGCAAGGGGGGGGCATTGTACAATGGAGAAGGAGGAGGAGGAGGGGAGAAGGTGGCGGATGTGTTAAGTCATAGCGTTACGACTGGGTGAGCCGCCAGGAGGAGTGCAGTTTGGTTTGCCCAAAACTCTTCGGACTGTTTTCATGCTTGCCGAATACCATCGGTGTTTGGGTTTGGCTCAAGTGCTGGTCGCCTTCTCGTGAAAAGGCTTCTTCCAGATTTTCAGGATGAGCGAGCAGGAGGAGGAGGAGGAGGAGGAGGAAGAGGACTACGATGAGGAAGGAGGAGAGAGGAGGATCAGCAGCATCAGTAGCAGGAGTACGAGGAGCAGGAGGATCAGCAGAAAGCGGAAAGAGGGGAATGGAGGGGCCCGCAACGAGTCGGGTCCAGCATTGTGGTCCGCGTTTGGGCGAGAGCGCAGTTCTGAACGACGGAAGCAATGCACCGACCTTGAAATAAAGCCAACGTTGCAGCTGGAATCCACTGTTTGCAAAACCGAACACGCTCTGCATTCCAAAACACTAGTATGCGGCGCCATGGGCAGAGGGTAGCGCACACAGAATCCGGGAAGAGAGGAGAGCTGTATTCATATTGGCGTAGTTGCGGTGAGGGGTGATGGGGAGAGAGCGAGCGAGCGAGAGAGAGAGGGAGGGATCAGATCAGAGGAGAGGAGAGAAGAGGACAGGAAGGAAGCGCATCCGCAGCCATGTTAGCTCAAGCCGACCGGGCCCGAGCCGTTAGCGCCCGGGACCCGCCAAGTGCCCGCGCGCGTCGCTCACGAGCGCGGCTCCGCGCGAGGCGATGCAGCCGCTGCGGTACCCGTGGCCTGTGCAGACACCAGAGTGGTGGCAGTTGCCACCGCACCACAGGCACGGGCAGCAGGACCAGGCTGCGCTCGAGCCCGACGCAGCCGCCCTGCCGCAGAGCCTCCTGGCGGAAGAGGCGTCGCAGTCCTGGGCGGAGGCTGCGGCGGCACTGCAGTCGATGCAGAGCCTGCACCAGGCCATAATGTACGACGCCGTGATGCGGCATGCTTGTGCTCCAGTGCCTATCGTACACGACCACAGGCCACAGTCGCGGGCGACGGCCGCGGTGACGGAGGGCGAGGCGATGGTGGCGGCCGAGCGGGCGCTGGCCCTGCTGGAGCTGGAGGAGCAGCAGCGGCCCGCCGAGCTGACGACGCCACCTGGCCTCCGCCTCGCGCGGCGGCGCCGCGGGGCGTCGCGGGCAGCAGCGGCGCCCTCGCGCGGCGGCGCCGCGGGCTGCGGCGAGGACGACGCGGCCAGACAGGACGAGGTCAGGATGCTACTGCAGCGCATGGAGGCCATGGCTGCGACCACCGTGATGGTGCGGAACCTGCCCAGGCAGCTGGCGCAGGAGCAGCTGCTGCAGAAGTTCATCGAGGTCGGACTCGCAGGAACGTTCGACTTTCTCTACATGCCGATCAATGTCGCGACGGGCGAGGGCAACGGCTACGGATTCATCAATTTCTCGTCGTGGCCAGGATTGCAGAGGTTCGTGCACGACTGGCACGGCAGGTTTCTCTTCCCCGAGCTCCACAGCGACGCCTCTCTCAGCGTGTCCATCGCCACGCAGCAGGGCAAAACGGCCAACGTGATGAAGTGGGGCACCCCGCGGTTGAAGCGGGTCCGCAACCCTGTGCTGAAGCCGATCGTCCTGCCGGACCCGCTCTGCAACATCGCGGAGGAGCTCGAGAGGCAGCAAGCGGAGCTCCGCTAGGGCGAGCGGGGGCGAAGGCTGCCCGCGTCGAGGGAGCGCGACGCGGCTCCGCGAAGTCGTCTGAGCACAGAGGCGTCCGCGCCGACGCCTTGCGCGTGCACGCGGGACACCCGGGCTGCGCTCCAGGCGCCACCTGCGCGGTCCGCGGCCCGAGTGGCCCGAATCCGCGCAGGGGGAGGCCGCGTGGGGATCGAATAAGCGAGAAAGCAGTTTTGTGTCTTCCAGCCCAACGGGCGTCGATGATTTTTTCTAGGTTGCCTAGGGGGAGAAGGGCCTTTGCCTCGCTCTGGTCGCGCACGACCCTGACGCCGTCGTTCGTCGCCGCCTGGAAGGTGCATTACTGGAGAAACGAATCAGATGTCAAGGGGTTAACTACGGACTGCGCCTGACGATGTGCACGCGTCGAAAGCACCCCATACCCATCCAGTCTGGAGCTGCCAGAGGGGGGGCTAAAGGCACCGATCCCGAGGCCCAGGATTGGCTCGGCCGCGGCGGTGGCTCAAGTGGATGCGGCCGCAGCAAGAAGGCAATCGCGCTGCCACGCAGGTCCCGGGCAGGCAGTGCTGCCGCAGGGGCGGAAGGGGGGGGAAGAAACAGGCAGACGACGACGAACGCGCAGGCGGGAGGCCGCGCCGGCCGGCATGGCGGAAGCACCGGTGCGGGCCTTCGGCGTTGCAGGCCCACGGCGGCCTCGGGGAGCCCACGGTGGCAGAATTTGTCCAAATTTGAGGAGCTCGCGCGGCAACAGAAACCAGGACCGACGACGCGTCATCTCAAGTCCTTGGCCTTTGGCTGAGCAGCACATGCCGAGCACCAGGCGAGGATGGTGCAGGTCTGGCGAGGTCCTCCTCGCCCTCTTGCCTCGTCCTTTGAAAGGGCGTGTTCTACCGCTGCTGGCGGAAAACCCGGGGGGGTCACTGACTGGGGGTTCCCAACCCGTCCCCCCCCCGCCCTCGAAAACCGGGGAAGGGGGGTCCCTACCGGTTCGAACCCCTCCCACCCCCCCCCCAGTCCATCATGAAAAGGGGGGGCGGTGTCGGTGTCACTACCGGTTCGAACCCCCCCCCCCACTCGAAAACCGAGGGGGTCACTACCAGTTCGACCCCCCCCCCCCTCGCCGCCGCCAAACGATTCCCGCTCCTCGGGACAGTTGGACAATGATGGGGATGCTGGGACAGTGGGTGGTGGAAACGGTGGTGGTGGGGACAGTGGTGCGGGGACAGTGGGGCAGTGGTGCGGACAGTGGTGGGGACGGTGGTGGTGGGGATAGTGAGGGGACAGCGGGATAGTGGTGGGGACAGTAGGACAGTGGTGGGGACTGTAGTGGTGGGGACAGTGGTGAAGGCGGCGGTGGTGAGGACAGTGGTGGGACAGTGGGGAAAGTGGTGGGGACAGTGGGGACAGTGGGACAGTGATGGGGACAGTGGGGACGGCGGGACAGCACAGTGGGACAGCGGCGGGGACAGTGTGAGGTGGGTACCGTGGGGACAGTGGGACAGTGGTGGGGACCGTGGGGAAAGTGGGGAGAGTTGGACCGTGGTGGGACAATGGTGGGGAGAGTGGGGACAGTGAGACACTGGTGGGGGCACTGGTGGGGGCAGCGGGGACGATGGCGGGAACAGTGGGGACAGTGGGACAGTGGTGGGGACGGTGGTGGTGTGGGGACAGTGGGAATGTTGTGGAAACAGTGGGACAGTGGAGGGTACAGCGGTGGTGGGGACAGTGGTGAGGGCGGTGGTGAGGACGGCGGGGGGACAATGGGACAGAGGTACAGTGGGGACAGTGGTGGGGACAGTGGGGGCAGTGGTGGGAACAGTGGGACAGCTCAGTGGGACAGTGGCGGGGACAGTGGGACAGTGGTTGGGGCCGTGGAGAAAGTGGGGAGAGTGGAACCGTGGTGGGAACAGTGGTGCTGGGGACAGTGGGGACAGGGCGACAGTAGTGGGGGCACTGGTGGGAACAGTGGGGACGGTGGTGGGAACAGTGGGGACAGTGGTGGTGAGGACAGTGGTGCTGGGGAAAGCAGTGGGGGATGTGGTGCTGACGGTGGTAGGGACCCAGGAGTCGTTTGCTGGCGGTGAGCGTGGGGGGGGGGGAGGGGTTCGAACTGGTAATAACCCCCCCCGGTTTTCTGGAGTGGAGTGGAGTGGAGCCCGTTGTGGAAGCAAGTTCGCCCGACCGATTACCCATTCAAGTGTGCTCGACTTCTTGGCCTTCTTCTCGGCCTGGCTGAGGACCTTCGGCTTCAAACCAGCCGCAAGTCTGTCGAGGTATGCTCTCTGGGTATTATTCATCTGCTCACGACAGGGACGGATCGAGGGTCGTGTGCACGTTAAGGGTATGAGTGGGATGAGCCCACGCCTCCATTATGTGGATACGAGCGCCCCTCTTAGGAGACATTATAACACCATCTACATTATGCAGTTGTGGACACTGGGTAGGCCACCAGGCCTTCATACAATCTTTAGTAGCAGATCTGAGGCATTTCAAATACCTACGCTTATCATCAGTTAACGTATGGGGAAAGGGGAGGGAGGCGACAACAGCAGCGGAGGGAGGAGGAGGAGGAGGAGGGGGAGGGGCAGCAGCAGCAGGGCGCTCGCCTTTCCTCGAACCCTCGGCCTTCTCCGTGGCCGCCATGCTGTCGATCGCAGCACGAAGTTGCCTGTGTCTGACCAGGAAGGCCCGCCTCTCGTGCATGTTGATCCGATGCCGATCCGTCTCTGGAGCCCTTGCTTCCCACGCAGCGTGTCCCGCTACTTCGTCTGCCACGGCGTTGCCAATGACGAGGCCCTGTACCCCCTTGCCGTCGCACAGCTCCTGCGCCGTGAGGTCGGAGTGGGTGAACAGCACGACCACGGAGCGACCCCGCACGAGTTTACCCACCTCCCACCATATGTCCGCGTCCTCGCCCCACGGGGCGATGTACTTCTCTGAATACCATCCTTCCGCCACCATGTCGCAGTCCGTGACATACGTGAGGGCCCCCGTGGTGCAGAACAGCGCCATGTGGAAGGCCTTCAGCTCGCCCCTCGCCACGACTTGCCTCGGCCCCGTCAAGGGCCCAGCCACGCACGAGTGGGCCAGCGGGCGCTCCGTGCTGAGCATCCTCACGATTGCCAGCCCGACTCGTCGCAGCTTGTTGGAGCCCGTGTCTTTGCCCCCGCTGGCGTCGCCGCACACGAACACTGGCTCGTGCTCTGGCCCGTGGCCCATGCAGCCCGCCGTCAGCTCCTCAATACCTGCATGCCACCACTGCTCCACCGAGGGGAGCGGAGGAGCGGCGACCCACGCGGACGGCAGCAGCCCACGGAGCCAGAACGCCTCGGCTGTGTTGACCAGCGCCAGCGCCTGACTCACCAACTCTTCGCTCATCTCGTAGGCCTTGTTACCCTTGTTCATATTGCACTGCCACCCTCTGTGGAGGGCTGTCTCACGAGGGGCCTGACACCGATCGCATATAGTGTTGCCCGCATACCTCGCAAGACAGTTTTGCTTCCTATCCTTTGGCCACGCTGCACCTGTCGCCACATTCAGCATAACCTCAGCAAGTCCGGGGCATCCTTTTGTTGACTGAGGTGGGAAAGCAATCGCCAATACGACTCATTATCCACCCCCTCTTGCATGCCATCTCCACCGAAGTGGCTAACCGCCTTCCTCCACAACTGACTTCTCGCTGAAGCCACTATGTCGGTCAAGATGCCAGTGTGCGTGTCGACCCCATTGACGCCCGTGTAAATACCATCTGGAAGCTGCCATTCCTCTGTGGTTCCCCACTCACTCTGAAAAACACCATGTGTTTGGATCGATCGGCTGCCACTGCAAACGAAGAAGTTGGATAATGATCGCAGATACAAGGCCCTTGAACTCGCCTGACCTGTACTCTAGGAGCTTGGTCCGCCAAGTTGCCCACGACCTTTGGCCACACATGTCGTATGTTCCGTCGAAGGTCTGGGTGTGATTGCCGCGTCGATCGCCATAAATCTACAGCACGCCGCTGATATACAACTGCTGGATCTTGGCCTGGCGCTCTACGGCTGGCAGAAGTTTGACCAAGCCGTCGACGACAATCTGTGACCTGCTGTCCGGACATACCGTGCATTTGATATCCACACGTACCAGCTGGCTGGCCACCAGCCTTCTCTAGCCGAACCGTCCATGATATCTCCGCGAAGCACGCGAAAAGCTGGCACTCAGGCTACTCATCTGCTTATGCTTCTGATCGCGCTTGGCACGCATAGCACGACCCCGATGCCCACAACTGAAATCCACTCCAAAATATGCAGGCTGCCTCGCCGCCTGGATTTGGAAGCCTCTGAGTCGCACTGCGCGTGCCGCCGCCACCGCATCCTCGAACTTGGAGCAGAGCACGACCGACTTGGGGGAGACGCGAAGCTTCCTCCGCGCCAGCGCCTTGCCCGCGTCCACGATACAAGTGACCAAACTCTTGCGCACCGCCTGCCTGGGCCCGACCGCCGTCTGGGACACGTCGTCAATCCAGAGACGGTGGCCCATGTGCGGGCTGGCGGTGGTGACCTGCCTCATCACAAAATACGTCATGATACGCGCAAAGCGCGCGCCTGCCCTCAGCCCCTGGACGACGCTGTGGCTCGGCTGGAATGGCTCCGAGGCCGCGCCGCCCTGGAGCAATCACATGCACACCACGCACTGGAGGAGCTCCAACCCTAGCACGGCAGGAGGGAAGCCCATGCGCAGTGCTTCCCGCGCTAGGACATCCCAGGGAATGGAGTCGTAGAACTCCTGGATGTCCGTCAGCGCGCGCCCGAAGCAGATGCCCATGGTGTGAGCCAGCTCCTCGTCCACGGCCCTGAGGTAGGCCTCCTGCAGGCGCGAGTTGCCCTCGATGGCAGCGTTCCACGCTGCCGCATTGGCACGCGACCAGTCCTTGACGACTGGCTCCCTGATCAAGGACCACAGCCACCCCAGCGTGGAGATGATGCCGATGGCCCGATCCCCTGCCGTCTTCTTGGGCAGAAGACGGCAGAGCACCAACATGAGCTGCACGGGCCACGTCATGGTGCACTCGACCGCCTGGAGCACCAGCGCGAGCTCCTCGATCGCTTGCCAAGGGAGCCTCTGGTAGTCCACGGGTGTGAACATGTCCACCCCCAGTCCCGCATTCCTTCTCATCTTCGCAGCGCGGCAGTCGATGTCGTCACCCGAGATTGTAGGAATTGGCTCGGTCGCCGCCTCCTCGCGAATAATCCGAAACAACTCAACCGCGGCCGACTCGTCCAGATCTTTGGGTGCCCAAAGACTCCAGAACGCCTTCTGCTTATTATCGATCACGTCAACAGGATGAAACAAAACCGAATTGCCAACAATAACCTCGTGCTGAGGAAGAGGTTGCAGCTTCAGCGATTTGTGCAAAATCCCCGGTGCTGTTGGCTCCGCAACCCAATCTCTGAACTCCGCCAGCGACTTGTGAAGGGCAGCCCGCTGTGCCCGCGCACAACGCGGCACAGCGGCGCGCGCGCTCCCGATGGCGTTGCGCGCCCACCACTAATATCAGCTGCGCCCGCAGCCTCCCG